ACTGCAATGGACGGAGGTGGTCAGAGCAGGCACGCTTTCCGGCGGCGGTTCAGAGAAGTTCTGACGAGTCTGATGTTGCACTACTACAGGTGCCGCAGCAGCACCGGCTTCGGTGGCACCAGCAGCGGTGGAAGCGAGAGCAGCACAGCGCAACTGTGCAAAATGCGTCAGTTCGTAGCGGAAGAGCTCCTCATGACAGCGAATGAAACCGGCGATGGTGAGGGTGATGACAGGAGTGACAGACATCTCCACATCCGGATCGTAGTCCGCCTGACGCAGGATGTTGGGCGCGAACACACTGGCCAAATTCTCCACTGTCATCCGGTTCTCCTCGCTGTGCTCCGCCACCTTTCAATGAGCAACATCCAAAAGACACCTCGTAAGATATCGCCCACTCACTCTAACCTCCCCATCCATCCTACCTGATGCTGCACCTACCCAAGAACCAAGCATTGTGACAGCACACACTCCACACAACCATGCATATCTATCCCATTCTCCTGCCTCAAAACTAAAGCCTGACATCTGACGATAACAAGGCCATGCTTCCGGCACACTAGCAACCAGTCATTGCAGCAATTCCACAAGGGCATCTACTTGCGCAGAGCATGGGAACTCAGTCAGACGCCTCCCATTCCATCGTGGCTGCACAACTCTTGACAAATGCACCTCCACCAAACAAACTCACAGCAACACATACTCTCCACACTTCCCCACACCCCACACCACCCACCTACTTTGAATAGATACGCCATCCTGACGACAGGCACTTCATCCACTGCTACGCACTAAGCCTGTCCCACTACTTCCACTACTCGTTTGCACACATCTCCACTCCAAATTGGACAACTCCACACACTTTCAATCAACACGCCACCTTGGCAACAACTCCACCCGGTCATTTCGCCTACGCCTACGCACACACCCACACTCACACCAACGCCCACATCCCCAATTCCCCCATGTTCACTCGCATCTGCAGAACACTTCAACCACACCATGCCATTGGAACACTTGACCACAGTAAACCATTCCAACTGTGTCAGCCTGCACCAGACACTCCTCTACACCTCACCGACCACCTACCTCATCATCCTTCCCACCCTACACAAATCAGTATACACATGCAATGCTCCATTCTGCACGCCTGATCAGCATATCATCTGTTCGCAAATTCCACAACAGACCAAGTTCTTCGTGTCAACGTTGAACACGGTCATTCACCCACATTTGTACCCTCTCACCACGTACTGGTGAGTTAAGGGAACGTTTGGGCAAAGGAAGCCAGATATTCACAGAATCGCATCAATATGTGCAATGAAACCAGTGTAGATCATTGCCCTGCGGAATCACTGAAACGAGCGCAAAACCAGTGGAAGCCTGTGGATCCACCACCAATACGGGTAACGAAGCTAAGCAGGATGTTTTGGGAGTAGTTTAGCCGTGCTAACAAATCCATCCACGTCGGGGTTATCCAGACACTATTTAAACACTGAGACGATTGCGTGAATGTAATAGAGGGCTGTGTCGAAAAATTG